TCTCTCTCTCTCTCTCTCTCTCTCTCTCTCTCTCTCTGTCTCCTCTATTCGCCGTGCGAAATACCATCGAAAAACCAAAACCGAAGGAGGGCATTGTCGAGGGGACAAATAACAATCAGCCGTCAGGCTAGAGCGACGAGCGGACAAAGGTACCCCCTCCTAGCTGTCACGAACAGCTGGAACACGACGCTGCGGCATGTCTGGAAATGTCCAAGAAACGTGACACAACGCCCGTATTTGTCGCACATTCCGAGAGATGCATAGTTTCCTCTCCGTTCGCATTAGCCATTATCAAGTTAATAATACTTTGAGAGGAAAGGGTCGGAATCCAAGAAAAAAGTCTTTTGTATGGACTAAACCCGGACTTTTCGTTTCAACTTAAAAATGGATGGAACCGACTTTAAATTTGGAAAAAATCTGAGGGTCTGAGGAATGTCCTTAACCGGATCTCGAATGGAACCGGAACGGCGCGTTGATTGGCATTAAATTCCGTGAGCGATACATGGACTATCGTACGCGTAACGTCTCAGCTTTGATCGACACTCGCACTCTCATATATTCACGTACGGGATACATCGTTTCGAGGCGATCGCTGCCGCTGCTGTTAACCGACAACGATTTCGATCACGAGGAAACGCTTTCTCTTAGGAGAGCGCCCTCGCTTGTATCGAGAAATTGGAATGGGGACGAACGGGTGAAACACAACGAGCGCTGTCACACGCGCACGCGAGAGAGCGAGAGAGAACGGATGGGAGTCGTGTGGCGACGGCGGCGACGGCGACGGCGGCGACGGCGACGGCAGCGGCGACAACGACGGCGACAATGGCAAGCAACGGCAATGACAACGGTAAGCGACGACGGCAAAGACAATGACGATGACAATGGAGAAGTTTGCTCAAGCTCGTTTACCGATTCGTAGCGCTCACGCGGGTCAGCTCACAATCCCTCCGACGAGCCTGGAGTCGTTCCCGTGGGTCAAATGATCCCGTCGACGGGCCCCATGACAGCCGACCGTCGGCGCAGCGTTGCGCGGATGATGACAACGATGACAGCGATCTCCTTTTTCTCCTCGCCCAGGGACGCGCTCACTCGCAGCCGCTGCGACGCGAAATGCCAGGCGAGAAGCGAGAAACGCTCGACACGAAGGAACACGGGACTGAGGGGGAGGGACAGGGAGAACTTAACTCGCGCACGCAACCCGCTCGATGGTCTGTTGCCAACTGGCTTGACCCCGCAAGACTAGACGTGCGGAGACCAGCAGAGACCCCGCCACTCGCTCACTCGCTCGTGGCGTTCTGTATCGGTCGCAAATGCGCGACTGTTAGCTGCCAACCTACCTACCGGCTGCACTCTGAAGCTGCAGCCTGATATTCACAATCCTGGAAATCGATCCGAGATCTCGGTCGGAGGAAAAATTGACCAATTCTTGAGAATATTTTACAATATATTTAGAATAATAATCAAAATTCAACGGCTCACGATTGCTAACTCTCCCTCAATCAAATGCTCGAACGAACGTAGCGAAATAAAAATCCAAAAGCGCGATCCGAAGTTTCTGCTCTCCGACAGAACTGTCATATACGAATACGAATAAAATACCATCGGCTGATATGACTACGAAAATGAAATGGTCGTGGAACGGAGCAAGCGCGATTCAACGGTGCTGTATCCAAAAGGGATGGAGGAAGGGAAGCACAGTAGGAACTGACCTGGACAATCGATCAAAATGTTCACTGATTTCAATGTTGCTCTTTTAAATTAAATTTCTTATATATATATATATATATATGTGTGTGTGTGTGTGTGTGTGTGTGTACACACAAACACACACACAATTAATTAAATTGTAAAGGTAATTGTAACGAAACACAAAAGTTCAAGTTTTCAAATCAATTATCCTCATTTTGTTATAAACTAACCTAACTTAACATGCGTGACAAGGCACAATTTGTGACACGTAGCTTAATGTCTAGAATGGCTGAATGATAATTCACGGATAGCAGCTTGAAACTCGGCTCTCATTCCATGTATTTACGAAACCTAATCTCAATTTTTGAGTCTTTATTTAGTGTCAATCTATATAGGTTAAAAGCATTTAAAATCTAAAAAAAGAAAGAAAAAAGATACATTTTATAACAAACAATTGATTGAACCGTTATTAAAATTCACATCTCTCACTTAATTTTTCAAATTTAATAACAATAATCACTATTATACATCGTTTGATAGATGAGTGATAATTACATGTAATCGACAAGATATTACAAAATATGTGCGATCTTTTTGTAATATTTACAATTCCAGCGAATAAAATTGAAACGAGGAGACTAAGAAGATTCGAAAACTGTAGGCAAAACGAATAAATCAGGGCGGAAACACATAATTAAATAGTAATCGTCGCTTAACCTCATTCCGATTATTATCCATCGCGCCGCGCCATTGATTCGTCGCGGTGCTTCTTGGAACTACATAGCACGGTGCACGATGATTGGCCGAGCAGGCGGTTATCGCAGCGCCGCGGCCACGGCGGACCGCATTTAATTTCTCCGCGAATGTATCGGAGCTGCGTGGAAGTCGCGAAGAAAAATCAGCGGAAAACGGCGACGCGTCGCACGTCGGCGGGCGATCGTGAGCGCGTCGCCGTGCGTAGCGTCTCGTCCAGGTTTCCCGGACGAGCGTCATGACGGGGAGACGCAACGCGCGACCGCGAGAAGCGGCGGCGCGGCCTCCCGTCGCGGCGCCCCGCGGATTTTTCCTGGACCCGCGCGCGAGATTTTATTCTGCGCATGGAAAGCAATTTTGCCCAATCATAAATAGGGCTATTGTGGGGGGATGGTTGTATGCCCGTGGCGCATTTCATACATCCGAGTGTAATGGTAACCAGATAGAGAGGCGCCGCGCGCGGGGGCTATCGGCCGGCGTTAACACCCGGTAAATATCAAAAATCCAAATCGTACGTCGTCGACGAGAAAAATCGCGTCGCGTGAAAAATCCTCGTGATCGTCTGTTACCACTCGCGTCCGAAAATCATCTCCTAGTTGTGTGTTAACGATGGTTCATGCTCCTGTTCCCGCCATCCCATTTTATGCTGTTCGTGATCCTTCGTCCTCGTTCTTTCTTCGCCTCGTATTTCTCTCTCTCTCTCTCATCGCTCCGCTGGGGACGCGGGATTACCCTCTTTTTTTTACTCTCTCTTTCTCTCACGCGACGTGCCAAACGTGACGTTTGTCGATGGTGCACACAGTGGTGTACGCGAGTGTGAGACGACTCCGAACTTCATACACGTCACGTAGCTGTGGATATTCACGTAGTCGTGGTCTCTATGCGTGCTGCGTGCGTGCGCGCGCGTGCTCGGTCGAGTGATCTGTGACGTCAGTGGTCCGATCGGTTGTCACCTGTCAAGCCGATGCCGACGTATCCCTCCCCTTGCCCCTGCCAGTCCTGCTATTTCGTACTCACTCTCTCTCTCTTTCTCTCCCTTCCTTTATCCTTCTATTTCCTCTCTCGCTCTTCCACCACGTCTAACTATCTCTGTCACCACCCCTCGATGCAACCCGCGGACGCAATCCGATCCGTGCTGTCCCTCTCCCTCCTGCGTCCATCTTCGCGTCAAGTCCCCTCTCGGTTTAACCCATGCGATCTCCAACCCTTCCCCTTCTTTTCTCGTTGCCACCCCTCTCCTCACCCTTTCCCTCGCAGGGATTTTCTCCCTTCTTCCACACCCACTCTCGCTCGCGTTTCCTCCTCCTCATTGTACCAGCTTCCATCCTCAACCCTCTCGTTTCATCTCACTCTTTTTGGCGGCTATGCCAGTGGCGTGATCTCGGCCCTTTTTTCGCGGTCAATTTCCAATTATTCATGAGAGTCACGTCGCGCTCGATGAAGATGACTCTCCGTCGCTTACCCAAGCGACATTCTTATACAACTAAAGGCGATTAACAAAAAATCTTGAGCACGATTCTGTATCCGATGGTCGGAAAAAGGAACGCCGAAAGAACGCTTTCAGTTTTCCTGAAAAGCTCACGTCCCACGTTGGCTACGCCACTGATCGGAATCGCGCGATCTATCCCTTTTCTCTCTCTCTTTCTCCCTTCACGTTCCCTTGCGATTCTCTCCTGCCTTCCCTCTCCACCCTCCTCGGCCCTCCACAGCGGCAGCTTATTCACCCTGGTCGCCTCTCTGCCGCTCCGAAAACCGAGCCGAGGCTTCGAAGCTCAAGCGCGACCATCACCACCACCACCACTACCACCACCACCACCACTATCAGCAGCAGCAGCAGCAGCAGCAGCAGCAGCAGTAGTAGTAACAGCAGCACCAGCATCAACCGCACCAGCAGTAGTAGCGGCAGTAGCGGTAGCAGCAGCAGCAGCAGCAGCAGTACCACCGGCACCGGCAACCCCACCCCACTTGCCACTCGCCCATCCACCCCTCAATATAACCCCGCTCACTCCATCCGCCGCGACGACCGCAGACACAAAAACAATAACAAATCGATTCGCGGCAGCAATGGGAGCGGGGAGAAGGGGTCAGTGCGAGGGGTAGGACGACTGCTGGGGCCCCCGGCGCGCGATATGAGGGAGAGGGCACGCGCGTGCGAGACGGAGAAAGAATGAGAGAGAGAGATAAAGGATGAAGCCGCCGAGGGGTGACGAGGAGGACGACCTCCCCTCGGTGGTACCTCTCCTCCTCCTCCTCGTCCCTCTCCTCCTATTCCCCCGACCCCCGTATCTCTTTCCCTCTTTCTGGATATTGTATAGAGAACGTTATGCTAAAGTATGCATGCACGAGGGTCGGTCCAATGGTCAGGAATCTCGCGAGTTCGTTCGCTCTACGGCGGCACGTATCCAGACCCGGTATTCGTTTCTTCTCGGCTCTGGTACTCGCGGATCGCGAAAACGCCACGTCCTTTCTCGCGTTATCGTTGCCCTCCGCATCGTTATCGTCATCTCTTCGTCTTCTTCGGCATTGTCGACGTCATCATGTGTGTAGCGTGGGAGGCGGTGCTAAGTCGCTACGCGCGTCAACTTCCATTCGATCGGTAAGGTGGAGATCGGCCCGGTCTTGCGGCGACGAAAGGGAGCACTGGCGGGGGATGATTCCAGCGTAATGACGATCGGCCCGAATTGTTGCGGTAGGCCACCATCGGGGCGCCCCCTCCAAGAGAAGGGGGAACCTCCTCGATATTCTTGCGATTTTCGCGCAATTTTATCCTGCTCTCTCTCTCTCTCTCTCTCTCTCATTTGAGAGACGCGATCCTCTTGCCGATCTCGTGGCGTGATATTTGCGACTCGTTCGAACCTCGCGTTCACGAGAACAGACATTTTCATTTCTTCAATGACTTTGAGGAACGAATTAGAATCTGCTTAATTTGTTGCACCTTCGAAATATTATAAAAACGCTGTAAAAAGATTTTAATTTGAAAAAAATTAGAATGAATTTAATTTTCTGTCGGAATTAAGTATCTCGATTCGATCTTGAGGGGTGATTCGAATCATTGAACTCTGGTGAACACGTGCACAAAGTTAGATGTCTTCGTTTGCCTCTCGAAAAGACACATGTTCTCTCTGAATATCTCGTAACATCGAACATATTGTTGGTGTTCGTTTTTCATGAAATATTCCAATCAATATTTTATGTAAATTATAAGTATCCCTCAATGCGCAGCATTGTTCAACCAGGCTTATGATTGTTTGAGTAAAATAATCTACGAGAAAATAATTCAAGAATAGCTCTTGAATTCGCGAGTTTCACATTTGGAGCGATACAAATCGAACAAGATATAGATCTGTAAGAGTAATATAGATCTGTATGTGTAGAGACAGCCTTATAGATGTGTAATCACATTGAAACGAAAGAAATATTCTAGGGCAAAGAAAATCGATGTGTTCTGGTTCACGTTTGAAGATTGTACATTTTTAGAAAATAGCTAAGAGAGAAAAATAAGAAGTTCTGGTAAAAATTTTAAGGAGATAATTTCCTCTTCATGTGATACTTTGTATGATACTTTTTTTCTGTATGGTTATCTTCATCTTTAGCACTAGTTTCAATCTTGTAATTCGAAATCGAATTACTGCCGCGATATATCCATATATCCATCCTGAAGTCCTCGCGTATTTCTGAAACATTTCGTCTAACGTATGAATCTTTCAAAAGATATTCAATTCAGTAATTATACAATCATTATAAATATATATTTGGAGAAGTAATAAAAATACGTAATGCGTATATGGGTTACAAATGAGGTTGATATACATGAACATATTCGAATATCTTTTGACGATTAAATTAAATGCACGCAAATTCGATGAGAAGCGTTACATATAAATAGTGATTTTATATATAAGTAACAAATACTCGGTACGCCTGAAAATTGCACGTAAGTATTGATTCGAGGGCCACCACTAATCTCTCTCTTCTCGCCCCCTACCCTTCATCCTTTTTATACCGTGCAGTCCATACAAACATAATGAGGCTCAAGCACCGTATCCAAGCGATTCGATCTTTATTAAGTTCAATATATATTTTTAACTTTGAATTCAAATAATCCACGTGATCATGGATGATCCAATAATACCAATAAATATATATCAAATACTCAAGTCAATCTTTAAAAACAAGTTTATTTTAAACTCACGTGAAATTATATTAAAAAAAAAGAAACCAAATAAATGACAGATTTATTTTAATCGCGAAGACTCGAATCAGCGATCAATTTCACTGAGACGATATAGTTAGAACATAAGTGAATAAAATCCCCCAGCATCCTGTCCCCTTTTGGGAATGATTCTATTCGAAAAGAGATATTTTGATGAAAAAATATGCTTTTGACGTATATAGTAAGTAAAGTATTATATAGCGATATTTTTTTTACATCAAAAACACAGATATGCTTTGATATGCTATTACGAGTGTAATATATGCGAATACTTTTTTTACTCACTGTAAAGTGGAAATGCTATTTTATACAACGAGCTGATTCCGTGAATTTTACCAACGGGCACTCATAACACATATTCCAGATGGAATATGGGATCTGGAGTCTTCACGTCGCGGGTGAACTTTGGGGTGACCCGCGTCTCGCCCGAAGGCATCCGATTCTGCCTTCCGGCGCGACGCAGATCCTGCCAAGGGCTGCCTTCGCCCTGAGCGCCCTTCATCGGCCCGATATGCTGCCGCTACCCTTGACGGCGGCGGGGCCACCCTATGTCCCGATGGAGTTGGTTACAAAACCTGCCTCCACTAATGCCGAAGATGCTGAGGATACAGAAAAGAGCACAAACGCCGAAGATGAAGATCCTCAACGTGACGACAACGAAGGTAACATCGAAAAGACCGATCAAAACGAAAATCAGGTAAGATTCTTTCTTTGTACAGCACAATATTGAGCAGTTAACTCTTTAATATTAATACTCTTTGAATTAAATTTCTCTAAAAAAAATTTGAAATTAAAGTTTTATTAATTTCCACTTAAAAATGCTTAAAAATTTTAATTATGGAAATACAAATATCCTATTTTTTTATATGCACCGGTTAGACTTGCGTGCCAAATGAAAGCAATGACAATGAAGATGCCGGTGAAGAGAGCGACACTGGTAGCACCAATAGCTCACATCGATCGGCAAACAACAATTTGTCAATCGCTAAACTCCCCGATCCGATGTCATGCTTGGCCCTCGACAAGGTCAGTTTTTGAAACTATATTTTTAACATAAATATTACTTGACATCCGAATTACTTGATATCCGAATTTAAAACTGATTTATCGATAATTTTTTAAGATAATATATGCGTGTGTATATATTTATATGCGTGTTTGGAAGACGAAGCTAACATTTTTATTATTGATATTCAGGAAGGAACGGTGACGCCTGTTCTGAACGGTTGGGTGTTAGGCGCTTACACGGCTATGCTGGGCAGACTGTCTGCCGCCACTGCGGCACTAGAAGCAACGGAAGTTCCCAATATTCTCTCCGACAGTGATTCCGAGAGCGAGCATTCATCGTATACTGAAAAGTATGTAGAAACTCGATAATTTAATATAGTTAGTCAAGTTATGATCATATTTTGCATATTTTAAATATCATTCTCTCTAAGAAAAACTTAATTATAAATTCGTAAAAATTTATTATTATTATTAAAATCGAGTAAGATATGGGATAATATATTATTGTTATTATTATTCAATATTGGAGATAATATCATATGGTTTAAGATCGAGAGGCAGTAGTCCGAACGTAAGTAGCGTTCATCGTGGCTACTCGTGTGGTTCCTGTGATGTGGTGGCACCGACGAGACCAGCTCTAAGGAAGCACATAGCTGATTGCCATCCTGCTCTGTCTGGCACGGAGACCGGGGAGACCAAGAGATGTCCATCCACAGGCTGTGACTTTACGACGAGCAGCAGGTGCGAGATGGAGACTCACGTGGCAGCGCACGTGGCCCAGGGGATGACACCTACGGGGAAGAAACGTTCACTGGCTTTGCAACGCGTCAGGTATAGGTACTCGAACAATTTTATATAACTATTTTAATTTATGTTTTAATGTGAAGATTCTCTCTTGAATTTTTTATTTTATTAGATTAATGGATATAAAATAAATGGAAAGAGAGAAATCTACATTTTTTTTCTTTAAAAAATTGTGTTGCGTTCTTTCAACTTCTGTTTCGTAATGTACTTAGATACGAGAGAGAAGAGTATCGGTGCTCACTGTGCTCATACGCGTGTACGATCGAAAAGGCCTTTCAAAGACATCTGCGAGCGCATGCGAGAGGTTCCGCGCCGGAGACCAGGGTGAGCTGCGCCGTCTGCGGTGCCGATCGATCCTCCGAGGTCGATCTCAGCAGGCATATGCGAAGGCATCGTGATGACCGATATTTCTGTTGCGATATCTGCATCTTCCGAACGGTGCAACTAAAGAAGGTAGTTGAAATATCACTTGTATTATAGAGACTTCAATTAGTATTTATATACGTCATAAAAGTTTGTGACAAAGATTGAGAATTAATTAACGTTAATCCATGTCTTGATATTTTTATAGCTAATACAGCATCGTCGTATGCATACGGGCGAGAAACCGCATCTATGTCCGCACTGTGCCTATCGAAGCGCACGCCGCGATAACTTACGCAGCCATGTACGGCGAGTGCATAAAAAGGAGAATCTCTATTGTGACACCTTCAGCCCGCGCGGCATGCTGATAACCCCCTCACTGTTGGCCTCCTCGAGGGATACTACCGATATTGACCTGATACAGAGCCCGGCATCCTCGCCGTCCTCAAATCCGGATACGACCAACTAGCGAAAATGTCCCCGGAGAACAATGAGAAGAGCAACGATCCCGAGAGACCGTTGAAAAAGGAAATTCGGGACTTGCGGGCCCTTTACACGTCCTCATTTTGTCAATACTGCGATCTAGATATTAGAATTTACAGGAAGGCTTGTACAAGTGCTGAACTTGGCAGACAATTGGAGTAGGATCAGAATGAGATAAAAATTAAATTCAAGTTGCAAAAGATTGAAAATTATTTACAATTTCATGAAAAAAAGCAAAGAGTTAAGATAACTGAGCTTGGAGAAATAAAATTGATTGAAGAACACATATAATGAAAAGAGATTGTTCCAAATCAGCATCGGCAAGACTTCCCTTTTTAGACGTTAGGAAACGTATAGATTATTGCATGCGAACGTCGATAATTTAATGTAATTTTTGAATTCTAACGAGATCTTGTATTAGCTATGTAAACGTCCAAGTGTTACATTATGTAGCCGATTCGATGAAGTATAGCGATCGGTAGACCGCTCGTTCGCGTCGATTTGTGATGGCGAACGGGGAAAGCTGCAAAATGGTGCTAGAATCGTAGATTGGATCATGGAGAAAGACTGAAAGTAGAAATGAATTCACGGCGCGACGTGACGTCCATTTCTTTTACGCTCTTCCGCGCTGACCGTCGTGATTAAAAAGAAAAAAAAAAAAAAAAAAGAAAAGAAAAATTACAGTCCAGCGAAGTTTAAGACTGCAACTCTGTACTGTTCCGGGGATTCTCGTGACTTTATTGCTTCTCATTAATCGTTATAAATATTAAATTTATTCTATATATTTGATTTTTCCATTTGAATTCTTTTGGAATTTGTTTTAATCTTAATTAGTTGATACAAATTAAGTCTGTTTTATTCTTGTTTTTATTTTTTGAAGATTATCTTGTAATCTTATGGCCTATTATAAAATCTAAATATATAAATTTTATTTTTAGAACCATAAGAGAAAAGGGGGAAGATTAAATAACGATCAATATATTTGTGCGCTTCTATAGATTTGAAAGAAAAGTTTGTAATACTTGCGTGTGTATTGAGGCGGATGCACCGAGACTCGATCGAATCAGGCCAACGGTTAATGAGATCAATAAAAGCAACGAGTCACGACACGACACGTTACGAGGACCCCGGTCGGGATGGAAAGGTGCTATTTTACGAAGATTCATTTTAATGTTACGTAATCTAGCATATAGTTCGCTCGCGCTGCATGAATCGCCACGCTGTAAGTATAATTGTTAAGTACTTGTTGATACAGATATATTGTTACGATTATACCTGATTTATCATTATTTTTATTACTACTATTAAGGACTGGTGATGCAAGAATGATACACTATTATGATTACGCAAGTACTACAATGTATCGTATCGCACGAGATGAAGCCTAATTTATTTCATTTTGCAAATAATGGCAAGACTTCTCCATAAAATTTTTACATCGATATATTTATTTTATACTATATATTTTTAAATTTTACATCAAAAGACCTATTCGCTTTATGTAATACACACGTAGAAAATTTTTTTTTTTTTAAACAAAATAACAAAATGATCATTATTTGCAAAATTCATACTTATTGGATGCATCCGTTTGTTATCGATACAAGTATCTTGCATACGCATTTCTATCTTTAGGATCCAAGATTATCCCCGACGATCGATCACTTGCTTGTACGAGGGGAAGAAAGTGAACGGGATCGAATGGAAATATGTGTCAATTTTTAATGTATCTCATAAAAATACGTTGTAGTCGATACACGATTTTTAACGGCGTCCGGCGTGAAATGGCACAAAACGTTTCGTCCACCACGTCATGCCACGATGATTCGTCATTTGGTCGGAAATGACATTTTCGCGGAGAATATCATTCTGCTATATAGACGCTATATTATTATAAAATATTGTATTAAACTACAAGGTATACGATGATGCGAGGTTGAAGCTGCATAGGGCATGAGATTTCACTCTTCCGGCACATTTTGACTTTACATTCGAACACACTACATCTGAATTTGCATTTATTTAATATTAAGTAATTTTTTTTTTTTTTAATTGAATTTATTGTCTTTGTTACTTTTACGTTCAACAATTGAATTTTTACGATCTCATGTTATCATTGTCGATAATGATCTAGAAATATCGCGAATAATGAGTAATCATTCCGTGCCAAGTAGTATAAATTTTGAAGTAAGCCGTAATTACGAGCGAATGTGATTTAGATTTTAATTAATTATATTACATAATTATATATATATATTAAATATTAAATTATATTTTATCTTTTAGGTATATATGGATGACTATTATAGTAGCCAAGATTACGCGTGGAAATCGATGAAAAACATTTATTCCGGATTATATTATGATATAGGCCCGAAAGCAGATGGTTTAACATATACCGGGTGTGCGCACTCGATTCACTCGACTATGCCGAACAAAAGATCATGAGTTATACATGCTGGTATACGTGCTATTTTGCTTTTGATATATATATAGGTATCGGGATATTTTGTATTCGTAAAACGCATTTACGACACTCCATAATACAGCGGGTTTCTCGATGCGACTTTTTATATACATGATTTTACACAAAACGCTACCTTTGACTGCTGAAGAGGACGATTTACTTTTTCCATTTCTTCCGCGCATATCTACAAGTCGTTTCGGAGATATGCCGAACGTATTAGCACATTCAGAATATTTATATCGCAAAATAGTTTATCGTCGCGCGTTGCGACGCGCATGATTTATCTATATCCATAACGAAAGAGATTTCTTGTTAATTATACGTCCGCATTTAGCGTGACTGGCTCCGTCCGCCGTTAGTATTTACTTGGAGTAATTATTTATTTTTTATTTCGGTCGAAAGATCATGGCACAACTCGAATAAAGCGTTCTGTTCGTTGTACATCAGGAAAGCCGTCGCGAAGTATCTATTTGTAATAGAAATAAAGAAAAGTTCCGCAGAACGGATTTGCGAAATAGGCGCGAAATTTCGTGCGACTGACACGTTTTCTGACGTTTTCTCATAATTCGCGAAAACGTGGTTTTCCCGATGAGCGTGCGCGCCTAACGAGAACACCTCATTTTATCGTATCGTCCGAGCGATTCAGTCTCAGGTGTTACCGAGATTTATTCGCAATTATAATTACGAGCTCATAACTGATAAGCGCCGGCGCCATGCCGATATTACGAACAAAAAAGAAACTAAATGCGTGCCAAAGTGACCCCGATTATAAGGGGATGAACGATGTTTTACGGAAGGAAGATGCGTGAGGGGAAGCTGCTTCAGATGAGAAAACCAGCGATCAGATTTCTTTATCGTTTGTGGAAAATTGCAAAACTCAATTTCGTGCGTTCTAAATTTTT